ACTGTTTTTACTGTATTTTTGATCAAATATTATAATTTTTTTATTTTACAATAATCGGTTACATTCAGATGCATGTCACATTAGAAGAAAAAAACAAACGACCAACTTTAAATTTTCCTTTCCACATAAAAAAGAAGTGTGGAATGACATGAGTGTGAGTAAAATGATGACATAATTCTCATTTTTTTGTGAACTACCCCTTTAAGAGCCATAAACAATGTGAATGTGTGTGGGTGTAGGTCTGTCCATCTTTTTTTCCTGATGTTTGTGGCCCTCTCCATCCTGCTTGTTCTCCTGGTGTCCAATGTGTTCAGAGGTGCACTGCAGTAATGTTGATGTTAGGGAGAGCAAGGGATCTGCTCCTGAATTATCACCCTGGTGTTCTGTCTGCACTCCCAGAGTGGAGGAGGAGAAAGACAGGAGAGCACAGCAAAGCAATATGAAGCAGAGTAATGCAGGCTTCAGCACTTGCTGCCACTATCCAGACCACCATTATGTTGGCAGATCTGCACTCGACCGGAACAGTCTCATATGGTGCTCCATATATCTTCATGATGCTCTGTGTGGTAATGGATAGTGTATAAAATCAGATGCAATTCGATTTTACTTCTACTTTATTATCTAAGTGCACCACTATTGAGTCAAATTCTTTCTTTATCATGCCACTCTATGTGCTGCTGAAATCAGATTTCCTTTTTTTACTTTTATTTTTGAGGCAAAGCAGCTGGGTATGAAATAGTAGGCTATTTTTGATTGAAAATAGTTTGAAATATTCCTTTGCCAATTAAAATACAAATACAAAACAGAAAACAGTGTGAAAACCTTTAACCGGAACTGACTCATCTGTCTTGCCTTCCAAAAAAAATCTGACAAACAACTGACAAAAGCACTAACAAAGACCGCCATTCATTCCACTATGAAGGAATATGTCAAATGTTTAGCCTAGTGAAAAATAAATATGTATTTGAAATACATTTATTTCATGCTAAGTATACTACAAATACATTTACATATTTATATACTGAATAAAAATACCCTGCAAATATACTTTTGGTATGCTAAACCTGGCATACTTAAAAGCTTTTTTTGGTTAAAAATGATCCAAAATCAATATTTGAGCAAGTACATAAACAGCCAGTGTTCAAAACTATCGCCTTACTTTAGCCCGATTCACAACTGTTAGCTTATAATAATGTTTTCTAATTTGAGTGGTTACGGGTAGGTTTTTGCGGGAAATTCGAGCATGCTGCTGCGTCATTACGTCACGTCTGTAAACATAAAGAAGTTGTCCCGGCTACTAGGCTATCGCATGTGAGGATCCAGCAGGTGGCGGATCATTTATAATCTTTTCTCACAGCAGCTAGAATGATTAAATGTATAATTTTGATGGCGGATTGTAATCCAGAAAGGACTATGTCTTTATGAAACACATGTGAACGAAATTAAATGATATTCCGCTTCTGATTACAGATAACCAGGGATTACACAAGATAAAGACAACCAGTTTGAAGGGAGCATAACTTGCTTTTTAAGTTAAAAGAATTTCTTAATATGAAATTCGAATGGTATGACAATTAGAGATTAGACTGTACGGAAATTGAAGTCTACACGCTAATACACACTATAGGCAATGTTGATGTTGTTATCATTAATAATTTGAGAATAAAGTACTTTGTATAACAATAATATTAATTTGCATGGTTTGATGTGATATGAGCTAACTGATCTTTAGATTAAATCACCATATAGCATGATTTATTGTAATGCTTTTTTCCTCAGTTGGTCAGAACAAACGTGGCAGACTTGTGCTGACGATTTGTGCTACCCACTCAGATTGTGCTACCTCCCATTAAAAAGATAGGTAGCACAAATCGATAGCGAAAAATGCTACCTATCAGATTGTGTTACCAGCATCTTATTCATGTGGTCTGAGGCTTTTTTAATGTCCATACCTACCCCTACCCTAAACCTACCCGTCCATACATAACCTTACCCTAAACTTACACTTAAAACAATGCAAATACATTTTTGGTAGCACAATCTGATAGGTAGCATGTTTCGTCAGTACACCCTGGTGAACAACCCATGCAAGGAAGATAATTCCGCAAACAGCTGCAATTGCAGGTTTTCAAACAGAGATGGCGACAAAGAGGCAAAACTTACGCACTGTAGCTTTAAAAATTGCTAAGTTGGGGCGATCCCTTGGGGCGCCAAAATGAGTGTTTTTTTACTATTTTAAATTTTTTTTTATTACCAATACTACTTCAATATTATGAATTTAAAATATAACAAAAAAGCGTACTGTATGCTATAGAGAAGTGTTCAAATGAATACAGTTTTGTGCAGGAATACCAGATTTGCTGTTTGTGTTTAATTTATAATGTGACTTAGGCAGCACATATATTTTTATAGTTGCACTGGAAACAATTTAAAATAAGGTTAATTTTCAATTACTAACATTAACAAAAATAATAAATACTGTTACAAATGTATTGTTCATTGTTAGTTCAAGTTAGTTAATACATTCACTAATGTTAATGTGAGGCAAGGGGCACCAGGTAAAATCTTGCCTCTAGGGCAGCAAATTGGCCAGGGCCGGCCCGGACTCAAAATCCTGCTTTATAGATCTGGCCACCATTCACTTTCATTATATGGCAAAGAACTCAGACATTCTGCTAAACTCTGCTAAATGTTCACAGATGGGGGGTGAACTATCACTTTACTGCATATTTATATTATACTCATTCACACACTCTGCAGAGGGCAAATGATTGCCTTGAGGAAATTGTTCAAATCTAAATTTAAATTAAAACATATTTTTTTCTAATGCAGTATTCTTGCATATTATTAATATTAAGTATGCTGGATCCTTTTTTCAAAGTTTCCATTAACACTTAGTAGAATCAGTTTAAAGGATGCAACATGCATCCTAAACCTAAATCCATTTACATAATAAATGAGAAAATAATCAGCTGTGCCTCAGGTAATCTCTAGCAGCTTCATAATGCCATTGACAGAGATGATTTCAGGTGTGCTAGACTGGTGCGGACAGGCATGTAGAGGACTGATCGAAAACAGCACAAGGTTAGCAATGAGAGACAGACGCTCACCTGCACCAGATGCCCATCGTTCTGAGACTGTCATCCTGGTTTTTCAGGGGCTGACTGACTGACAGATGGGCCCCTGGGAAATGTGACAGCAGATTCTGATCAGACCAAGTTGTTCTCTTTAGCACCCACTGACTGAGAGTCTTCAGCCAATAATGATTGATCAAATAAAGGCTTACATCAAGTGTAATGTCATAGAATTGGAGACTCTAGACTGTCAAATTGCACTTTTTTTCCACCCTTAAAGGTCACTGTAGTAAGGGGACTCTACTCATAAGGTTGTTCTAAGCTCAAGTGAGTAACTAAAGTTCTTCACAAAGGTCCCTTTCACAAGGCTGTTAGTGAAATATAAAGGTGATAGTCATTTTAAGTAAGTAATTGTGCCTTTTATGATCATCTGATTCATTTTGAACCCTGAACTCATTTATCTGACTTTTCTAAACCCTCAATTGTTTCCATAAACCAAATGATTATCAGCAAAAATCCTTCTTACATATTTACATTCTTAACCCTATAAAAGCCTACTGATCACATTTGATGCTCAAATTTATAAGGCATCTATCTATTACCTGATTTTGATAAAAGAACAATTATATATTATTACGACATATTATTGGGAGGTATAGAGTGTCTACTGATATTTATATGCATTTTAATTATATATATAGGTGGGTTTTTTTCCTCCATGAGTATAAGCTCCGTATTTTCTTATGTCATAATATAGGAGATATCAAGTGATTTTTTACAGCTATAAAATTTAATTAAACTGTTATGTTGTCAAGTTAACATTCTGATAAAAAAAAGTAAGTTAATGTAAGTGGCAGGCATGGCATCCCGTAATTAGAAATTGGCCCCACAGTAATTAGAAATGGCCAAACTGTCCCCCCAATATTTAAAATTCTTCCTCTGCTTTGCTGCTCCATTACACAATGGTCTGTTTGTTGTAAGGATGTTAAAAAGGTTTAAAAGTAAAATTTTTATGGATGACTAAAACGATATATTTATATATATATATGTGCATAGCTGATAAAGCTTATAAGTCTTTCAACCACCTGTCAATGTTCTTTTTTTACGCTTACGCTGACACTTCCTTCAAAGCATTTGGCACTTCAGAGAATATTCCTATCAGCTTTGGACTGTCTAAATCGCAGCTATTTTTATTCCACTACATATTTAGATAAACGTCTCCCACTACAGAATTCTGTTCAAAACATTTCGTCTGAATGAGTGAGAGCAGAAGGGAGGTTCACACTTAAAATCTTCACTATTTCACAACCTGTCTACAGTCTGTTGCTAATCATGGTTTTCCATCATCAGAAGTGACTTCCATCTTTTTTCATGCAAAATGAAGCACTTTAGCATATTTATGGGCTGAGATATATCCAAACGTGTACAACGTGCTACATGGATCTTGCTTTCAGTCATCAAGCGAAGGAACAAATAGCTTCTGACATGTGAAGAAAATTGAATATTCAAGAGCTCTGTGCATTTAAACACATAGACTAAAATCACAGTGTCAACTTGGGAGGAGATGGAGAAGCATATGAGTTAGTTTCCTTGTTAAGGTCAATGCTCGTATCTGTGTGAAATCAACCAAAAAACTATTTAAATTGTTGTTACTGCTATCATATAAATGACATTCATAAGAATAAAATTTTTGGCCATATCAGCCGGAAAGCATTAGTTGATGTCAGATCCAGATCTCGGAAAATGGAGAATCTGGATGAGCTAGAACATCCATTGTTGGGTGACAGCAGCCCCAAAAACTCAAGTGGAACAGGCACCAGTGGTAGTGGACTGTTCAAAAGCATGTTGATGAGAAATGAGGACAAAAGTCTGCCCCCTCTGGACTGGAGGAACTACAGTCTGTTGCTAATCATGGTTTTCCATCATCAGAAGTGACTTCCATCTTTTTTCATGCAAAATGAAGCACTTTAGCATATTTATGGGCTGAGATATATCCAAACGTGTACAACGTGCTACATGGATCTTGCTTTCAGTCATCAAGCGAAGGAACAAATAGCTTCTGACATGTGAAGAAAATTGAATATTCAAGAGCTCTGTGCATTTAAACACATAGACTAAAATCACAGTGTCAACTTGGGAGGAGATGGAGAAGCATATGAGTTAGTTTCCTTGTTAAGGTCAATGCTCGTATCTGTGTGAAATCAACCAAAAAACTATTTAAATTGTTGTTACTGCTATCATATAAATGACATTCATAAGAATAAAATTGTTGGCCATATCAGCCGGAAAGCATTAGTTGATGTCAGATCCAGATCTCGGAAAATGGAGAATCTGGATGAGCTAGAACATCCATTGTTGGGTGACAGCAGCCCCAAAAACTCAAGTGGAACAGGCACCAGTGGTAGTGGACTGTTCAAAAGCATGTTGATGAGAAATGAGGACAAAAGACTGCCCCCTCTGGACTGGAGGAGTTATTGCAGTTCTACAGACATTCAACAGCAGCAGCTACTGGATCCATGTTCATTGCCTAGCACTCTAGAGACTTTTTATCCTCCCACTACCATTTGGGCCGCTGCTGACTCCCTGGGCATCCACAGTAAGGAGTATCTGGAAACCACTTTTGTGGACATTGGCCCTGGTTCACCATTGGAAAGGAAGTTACTGGCAGAGACAAGAGATGTCCATAGTGTATCCTACAGCATAGAAGATGGGGATGATCTTTTGCCAGACTTTGAGGTAAGATTTTTCCTTCCAATACAATACATGAGTGTTTCTTCAAGTACAGACAATTTTGACCCTGTGTTAAAACACATATAATTAAATACTGAAATGGGTTATGCTCATTTTACTCTGTTTATCAGTTTTAATTAAATAAACCACATTTTTAAGAAATACTGAGACATGGGTAAAACAATAAAATTTATAATTTATACATATAAGGAATTACCATGGCTTAAAAAAAATCTATCTATCTACAGTATATAGATAGATGATAGATAGATAGATGATAGAAGATACACATGCACACACACAACTTTTTCTATTTTTAAAATTTGTTATAAACACTTCAGAAGTGCGTACATGACAAATTAATTAGCATAATACCAAAGTCCCTTTAAGGCAAGTAATTTCACTCGGCGTCCATCTTTGAAACGCCTCTCGGGCATGCAAGTGCAGCTCCTATTTCTTTGAATGGGGAAACATCAAATTCTCCAAAACAGTTTGCCAAGTGTACGATTCAATTTTGTATTTGAAATCACCAATGAAATCTGACAACAAATGTCTCATAAATGTTGTTTCTTTTGCTCAAATAGCATTAAAAAAGCATATTTTTTCAGGCTAGACCAGCCAGTGCGCATACGTAGTCCTAAGCGCACGTCTCCAGAATGCGGACTGTTTCTATAGCAACCGTGACTTTTAAAATCATGAGCTGACTTTTCCGATTAGTGATTGGCTCTTTTACTCAGAAGGCGGGGCTTCCTTATATAGAGCGGCCATATTGAGTGCTGCATTTTTCCCCATTCAAAACTATACGAGAGACACATCTTGGGTATTCTATAGTCTTTGATAATACACATAATACTAGTTTTAGTTTTGTGAATTGGTTTCGTACTCTGCTTCAAAATGTACACAAAATACACTTTTACTTTTTTTGATAACTTTTGAGACTGTTTATGTGTTTCGGAACTAAAACGGACATATCCTGTGACCTTCATTAAAGGGTTAGTTCACCCAAAAATGAAAATTAGCCCGTGTTTTACTCACCCTCAAAGCATCCTAGGTGTATGTGACCTTCTTCTTTCAGACGAATCCAATCGGAGTTATATTAAAAATTGTCCTGGCCCCTCCAAGCCTTTCAATGGGGGTAAGCGGGTGTTGGTTGTCAACAGTTCAGAAGACGTGAAATAAAGTGTGCGCATCCATAATAAAATGTCCCTCACATGGCTCCGGGGGGTGAATAAAGGCCTCCTGTAGCGAATCCATGCATTTTTGTAAGATTTCAAAAGTAATAAACACTTTTTTCTCACTTCCGCTGACTGTCATACGAGGAAGCTGTTCCGGCGGAGGACGTAAGACGTTGGTGTTGCGTGATAAGTGATGAATGCGGAGACAAAACAAAACAAAACAAAACGCCGTTCAAGAATTAGAAGTACAAAACGAGGATTTGTAAAGAAAAATGTCGGAGGATTTCGATATAAACCAAGAGGAGACTGGTTTTCCTTTGCTAAAGTAAGGAAACTTTGTTTCCTTTGCTCCTGCATTTCTCAGAGGCTCGCACACGACGTATACGTCCTACGCCATCCGCCTGAACGGCTACCATGTACGACAGTCAGTGGAAGTGAGAAAAAAAGTGTTTATTACCCTTTAATATAACTCCGATTGGATTCGTCTGAAAGAAGAAAGTAACATACACCTAGGATGCTTTGAGGGTGAGTAAAACACCGGCTAATTTTCATTTTTGGGTGAACTAACCCTTTAATTATTAATTCTGGAAGACCTGACAAAAAGTATTTCAAACCTAGTTGTTGTTGTTTTCATGTTTATGAATGCTTGTTCATGTAATGTAGTGTTTAATTGATCCTCTTTGTATTTTATATCAAAACGATGCAATATTTTCTATTCATATCTATGTATTAAACCCATAGCAGATTATTAGCCAGATTATATAAACTAGATTAAATTACAGACTACAATTTTCGTCGTTTAATTAGGAATAAGTAACAATTACAATTTTTTAAGTAATTTAGTCTAGTAAACTACTCATAATTTAAAATTGTTAAATAAGTTATAAAAAAAAAACTACAGGTCACTAGGAGCTAACAAAATTAAATCTAAGGGTGCACTATTCAGGCACAAAACTGGCCATAAAATGAAACAGTGAATCACTTATTTGACCAGTGATTCGATTATTTACTGAAAGGCATCAGACTTAATGCTACATATGGAATTGAGGCCAGAGCATGTTTGACTATTCCCTCTGCTCATCCGGCTGTATGGATGCAATGCAATAAAATGTGATGAAAAATACAGCAATATAGCATTTTGTCATGCCACACTGCTCTGTGTTGAAAAAAGTAGCTCGTAGTTAAGGTAGGCTACTGTAGTTGTGCTTTTTCCTACTGAAAAATGAACCTGACTGGGTTTAGGAAAAAGAGAATGAAAAATATAATATCAGAGTCCAGTGGAAAGCTTAGACTCTTGTCAGTGACCTAAACAACAATGCAATGGCTAACCGTTCCTTTTCCCATATACTTTTTACTCCATGAATCTTTTTTAGAGAAGAAGTCAACGAAGTACAAAGTACATGACACACATCTGGAGGACGTGAACACTATGGTTGTAGAGAGAGTGAAATGAGCAGAGTTGTCAGACACAGTCCTAGAAAAAGAGACAGATTGAAAACACAGCTCTTTTTTTTTTTTTAAACACGAGTCAGAATTTGCCTGTAGGCAGCACAACTAGTGCACATTTGGCATAACCTCATTCAGTCACATTATCTTACAGGAACCAGAAAAACCTGCAACATATACATTTATACAGCACAACAATAGTAAATGCAAGTCATTGCCTTTGTTGGATAAAACCTAATTACATTTGAAGTTCACATGTTACAAAAGCTATTTATATAACCTACAATTTTAGACTAGTCATACCTCTGAAACTCTATTTCACAGGATCATGTGAGGATCAGAGCACAACATACAATAAATTAATAAAGGTTTTATCCCATGACAAATTTAATTTATGACCAGTAAATCATTTCCATTGACATTATGTAACTTCTCTGGTGCTGATGACTGTGAAATTTACTGCAGGACTCCTCCAGTGATGACTTCAGTGATACAGACAGTGAAAGCAACTTTCCCATCATGATCCCTCAAGATCACCTGGGCCTGGCTTTCTTCTCCATGCTCTGTTGTTTCTGGCCTCTGGGCATTGCTGCATTCTATCTTTCCCAAAAGGTAAGGGACAAAATGTATTTGTCATTATCTTGCGCTCTCTCTTTTATTTTAAGTATCTTATAACCAATCACTACAGGGTGTCACTTTCATCTAAAGGGGAAAGCACAGTGGGGAGTTTTTTTTATGTTAGAAATTCAACTCTGACAGAAGTGAAAAATTATTAATCTTTCCCAAAAGGTAAGGGACAAAATGTATTTGTCATTATCTTGCGCTCTCTCTTTTATTTTAAGTATCTTATAACCAATCACTACAGGGTGTCACTTTCATCTAAAGGGGAAAGCACAGTGGGGAGTTTTTTTTATGTTAGAAATTCAACTCTGACAGAAGTGAAAATTTTTTTTTTTTTTGAGTATGTCTAGCATTTATGTAGCTATTAGCCTACACACTTTCATAAGACTTCTATGAGACTCTTCAGAACAAATGAACAGTGAGAATACTTGAAAATGACACAGGAGACTGTTTTGGAAACTCATTCTGCCAATTCACTGAAAATAATGATTAATTCACAAATTGTTGGCATCGCTGGTTCAGTTGTCAGAAATACGGCTGCTGAAATATTTGTATGGAAAACGCACAGTGCGTACAGCTGTACAGCTACAGGCACCCCTGCCAATCACTGGCATATTATTCTAGTTGTTTAAACAATGTTTGCATATCAATACTTCTCAGTAGGAGTCATATGCGACACTCAAATACTTGTGCTGATCTCTCAATAGACTCCTCCAATCTGACTGACAGTGCTATAATCATTATCCTTTACTCATAACCTTGCATCGTTTGTGAGCATAAATAATTCTGATGTCATGTCCTTCAGTGAAATATTATGAAAATGGCAGATGATGCATTGGAGACAACAGATTGGAATGCCAACTAATGGAGAAGACAAGAAAAAGGACACAACCCATAAATCATACATTTAGAAGTCCGTTATATAGAAGACTGTAGCAGTGCTCCATACTGCCCAATTATAACATCACATCTAGTCTGTTTAAATACATTTTGACAATATCAACCAAATGTAGATTGTTTGTAACGCATTACTGATGTATGTAATCAGATTACTTTTTTCTAGTAACCAGTAAAGTAACACATTACTTTTATTGTAATGCATTATTTTAAAAAAGTAACTTTCCCCAACACTGCAGTTAGTTATTACATATGACCTGTTGATACTTCTGTGCCTAAAGGGCAAAAGGTCAGTTGGACTGAAAGTGACAGAGATTAGCAATAAAGGCAAGTGCTCTTTTAAGAGCGAGTGTGGACATTATGGAATTACACCTGAGGGTTTAGGCAGGATTACACTGAGATTTGCAGGATTATGCCACCAGCGAATCAAAGTGCCACACATAAGAATAACACAAGTCACATGTATTATTAAGCTTTGTCTCATCCTCAGACGAACCCTTTGTTGATCGCCTGATGTATATCAAATACAAAACTCAAAACAAAAGCTTCTTTTCAACCTGGAAAGCTGTAATCTGATTGGCCACAATTACATAAGGTGTTTTTTATGTGTTTGGGATTATTTAACAACCTAAAGCGACTTTTATTATTATTCTATTCAAGACCGTTTTTAGTGGAGGAGGTACTGCAGATGTTCAGCCCACATAGCTGACAAGACTCTGATCAATGGATTTCATTCAGACTTTAATTAGTGTCATAATGAGAACATCAGGAATCTGACCACCAAACATTTAAAAAAAGAAAAAAAAAGAAAAGTTTTCTTAACTGCTATTTTCTAGATTGCATTTCAAGTATTAAAGGGGTTATATGATGCGATTTAAATTTGTCCTTTCTCTTTGGAGTGATACAAGCTCTTTGTAGAGTAGCGCTTGTTGTTTGTCATTTCTCCGATCACAAATGCAGACATGGTTTTATGTTTACGTAAAAAGACAGTCTAAGCCATTATTATCCGTAATTATGTCCCCACTGGATGCAACAAATGCCTCGTTTATAATGGGTAACGGGTTCCGGCCGGGACACGGCATCACATTATGGTAGGGGCGTAACATTTCCGTCACACGCTTGAGGTATTCGGCCAATCACAACGCACTGGATAGCTGGCCAATCAGAGTACACCTCGCTTTTCAGACCGATGAGCTTTGTAAAAATCGACGCGTTTCAGAAAGGCGGGGCATAGAGGAGAAACAATAATGTACAGTATGTGGAAAATAATGTGTTTTTTGAACCTTAAACTGCATAAAGACATTTCATTACACCAAATACACAAAATAATGTTCTTTTTAGCAACATCATATGACCCCTTTAAGCATTATAACATTATTCATGATAATTACGATTATTTCAGTAATCTGCGTTCGCCTTTGAGGAGTTGATCAGCAAGTCTTTGGCATAAACCACCATACAATCAGACAATACCAATGTCTAGGTTTTAAAAAGATAATGTTTGAGAATTATTCAACAAGAATTGTACTTAGGATTTTATCTTAAAGGGGTCATATGATGCGATTTCAAGTTTTCCTTTCTCTTTGGAGTGTTAAATGCTCTTGGTGCATAAAGAAGATCTGTAAAGTTGCAAAGGATGAATCAAAATGATTACGTTATGTAATTTAAATATAACGGTTCTGAACAAAAACAGCAAACAGGCTGAATGAAAATTATAGGACAGTATAGGTGATGCTTATGAAAAGCAGAAATTCAGTGGTTACCCCTGTACACAATGCAGATGTGCATTTTAAACACCATTGTATTGACATTATACCGAGGAGGACAAGAAAATGCCATTAAAGCTCTGAAAACAGTCAGTTCCCTTTAAAGACACATTCAGTTTTGCCCAAAAGCATTGAGTTTGCAGGCATGTAAACATCTTTAAATGCCAAGACTGTAATTTATATTCTGAACATATAATATGTATGATTTGTAAATGTGAAATAAAGGGTATTTGCCTGCCTGGGCAGTTATTAACTTATAGAATCCACTAGGATAAAAGCTAAAACTGTAGTCAGTGACATTTCTACCATTGGGCACTCTATTTTGTTGTAGCACTCTACTCTATACTTAAATCCCTTTTGTAGGCCTACATTTCGCCTTGATAACCTCAGAGGCGAGTGATAAGCAGTGCCAAAAATGCTTTGAAGTGCTTTAGTTGCTACTATAGGAAGTGTCTCTGATATGAAACACAATACATCGCATACTCGCACCTTCAAATCCATCTGCATTCATGTACAATTAATGGCGCTACCTTTTTTTTTAAAGCAGTACATTTGTGTTTATAAACTTACTTTGCAAATGATCTGTTCATTAATTTGACTGGTGAACTGTTAACAATCAATACAACAGATATATCTAGACTAATCTAGAATCAGTATACAAATGCACCCAGGATTCACTAAACTACACAATATACAAAAACCTGAAATATAATATCGCTCAAATGTTTGGGGTCAGTTTTTTGAAAGAAATTAATATTTTTATTCAACAAGGAGATGTTAAATTTATCAAAAGTGACAGTAAAGAAATTTCAACTAAATGTTGTTCTTTCTATTCATAAAAAAGGTAATTGTTTTCACAAAAATATATTAAGCAGCACTATTTGTAACATTTTAAATTGTAATTGATAATAAGTAATGTTTCTTGATCACCGAATCATCATATTAGAATGATGTCTGAAGGATCATGTAACACTGAAGACTGGAATAAAGACCATTAAGGCCATTAAATAAATAAAAAAAAAATTAATATATCCAAATAGATAACATTTAATTTTAACTGTGAAAATATTTCACAATATTACAGACTTTACTTACTAATGAAACAAATGCAGCCTTGGGAGGATGAGAGTCTTTCAAAAACATTATTAAAACATCTTACCGACCACAAACATTTGAATGGTACACTGTCCATTACAGATAAAGTCGATATTCAAATGTCAAGGGCACAATACTACAATCAGAAAACCCCATGTGATTTAAAGGTTGAAATGTGCCCTGTTCCAAAAGATTAAACCACAAAACAGCGGTCAGCATAAACTGCCTTGGCAGGTGCCCTTCGCGCTCCCCGCAGTTAGAAATTGGGTCACATCATGGTAGGAAATGATGTATTACTTTTACAACAAGCTGCCCCATGGAGCAGAGGAGAGGAGCGATAGCACAGCCCCCTCCGGTAAGCTATCATTGCCTGTGTGGGATCACAGAAGTGCACCACAGTCCTCCAGTGCACAGGTTAAAGTGCTGCGGTCGAGTCTCAGTACAGGAATACAGACCAGAGAAATCCTCTCCTGTCATTATTTTATTCCTCCTCTACATTAATCTTGTGCAAATGTGTATGTAAATTTTGCAGGTAACTGTTATGAACAAATAAATGCACTTGATTGAAAATTTTATTTGGTTTTGCCTTTATAATACTTGCACTTGCAATGATGTTGTGGAAAGAGCCTACTGTTTTAATGATACTCATTACAATACACATCTCTAGAGGAACTAAATGGAAGATCAAGCACAACTGCGGTGAACAGCAATTAATGATAATGCATATTAATATACTATGTAATTTTCTCACTGACCCAGCTCACACAGTCTAATGGAAATCTCTATCACTTTTTCATTTTGAAAGCTACGGTTTCCAAGGCAGTGGTCTTAAAATTGCTTTTTTCTTTTAAGTTCAAACGTGCTTTGGGTTACACAAAAAGCAAGCATTATGGTCCATTTGACTTAATATGACTCTATTAAGATGTTTTTTTAAACATTCAGCTATTTATTAGCTATTTAAGAACAGAAACTATAACACCTGGGTAGCAGATTGGCATACTTCTCATTTTATTATTAACACAGCATAAAAACACTTGTTTTCTGATGTTTTTGAGTATTATGCGAGTATGCAAAATGCAAATTAATATGGCATAAGCTACAAAATGAAATCTTGAAGTGCTAAAAATACCATCTTGGGAGTAATAGAATTGCTGCTCTGTAAAGCTTTGTGGGTGAACACATGATTCTGGTCAGCTATCCTTGTAGGGACTCTCCATAGGCGTAATAGTTTTTATACTGTACAAACCGTATTTTCTATCGCCCTACACCAACCCTACACCTAAACCTACATGTCACAGGAGACTTTCTGCATAAATCAAACTCATTCGGTATGATTTATAAGCTTTTGTATCCACGGGGACCTCAATTTAGGTCCCCACCGTGACACGAGTCCCCATGAGTCTGTGTGTATTCAGGTTTAAGTCCCCACCAGGATATATAAACCTGTACACACATACATAATATGTTTGTGTGTGGATGTGTCTTTGTGCTAAATTAATTTTATATATGTGTGCGTGTAATTTTGTGTATAATTAATTATATATATATATATATATACACACATATACATACACATACATACACACACAGTGAGGAAATGATGATGCAAACTCAAAGTAAAAATCCCAACAAGCATGTTTTATTTTATCTTAGAATATCGGCGTTTGACAGAATCCCTATAAAACTGGAAAATTTGTTCAGAAGCCTTTTGACTGATTGCGATGCACTGCTGCAGCTGTGTAGGAAGAAAACATTTGTGTCATTGCCTTCTAGAAAATTCAAGCAGGTTATGAAACACACAAATACCTATGTATCATCGCCACAAACAGAGCAATGAATCACACGCAAGAATGAAATGCGCATCCGATCTCACCTCCTGGACTGAAAAAGAGCCTGTGGTTGATGACATCAAAACATTGCACTCAACGCTATCAATAGCAAATGTTAACAACGCTCGACTTTCCTGGAAAGAAAACATAAAAGACACAGATCAAGAGCTTAACCTGTACGCTATGGTTTGTACCAGCCATGGGCAACAGGAAGTGCGGTGTGTACCTTTTCCTGCAGAGCTGTAGGATCAGTGATTATCTGGCCCTCTTTGCTAATTGCACAGGTCACACTACAAAAAAGGTGGCTCATGGGCAGCCCGGCATCCATTAGAGCCATACAGGCAGCATTCAGGCAGCATGACAGAAGCTGACAGTTAGATAAGGACTCAAACTGTAGGGGGACACAGTGAGAATGCAAGAAAATAGGACAGAAAAAAATCAATCAACAGTAACGTGGAAGTTTGGGGCCAGTATGATTTTTTTTTTAAATGAAAAAGGTCTCTTAAGCTCACCAAGGTTGCATTTATTTAACCAAAAATACAGTAAATGCAGTAATATTGTAAACATATTACCATATAAATTAAGTCTTTTCTATTTTAATACATTTTAAAATGTAATTTATTCCTGTGATGGTAAAGCTGAATTTTCAGCAGCCATTACTTCAGTCTTCAGTGTCACATGATCCTTCAGAAATCATTCTAATATGCTGATTTGCTGCTCAAGAAACATTTCTTATTATTGCCAATGTTGAAAACAGTTGTGTAGTTTAATATTTTTGTGGAAAGAGGGATACATTTTAAAGATTCTTGAATAGACTGTTAAAACGAATATCATTTATTTAAAATAAAAAGCATTTACCGTCACTTTTGATCAATTTAATACATCCTCGATGACAAAAAGTATTAATTTCTTTAAAGAAAAAAAAAAAAATACCTTGCTGAACCCAAAGCTAACTTTGAACAAATTAAACGTTGTAATTGTTCAGATTAATATGCTCATCACCCTTATATTTTGAATGAATTGACCCCTAAGCCTTCTCTTCAACAGTGAGTGAGCAGTGTTGGGGGTAACGCATTACAAGTAACGCGAGTTACGTAATCAGATTACTTTTTTCAAGTAACTAGTAAAGTAACGCATTACTTTTTTAATTTACAAGAAAATATCGGAGTTACTTTTTCAAAAAAGTAACGCCAGTTACTTTGTTTTCCCATTTATTGACTGACAGCTCTCCTGTCCCCATATTGGGAGAAATGGGAAGTGCAGAGGCGTTGTGTGTGCTGTGTGAACATGATGCTACTGTAGACTAAATGTGAATGTGCATTAATTCATCCCACTCACAAAAAACAGATTTAGTATTCATCAAAATGAATTAAAACAGTGAAATGCAAACTCAGAATATGACGCAAACCTGCAATAATTAAATATGTTAAATAACACAAATGTATCTAATCCCATTTTATTAAGCAATATCTTTGCTGCTGACCTTTGATGATCCATACTAATAAGCAAAAATGACTTTAGAGAAACTAACAATTGTGCTTTGTTTTTTATTGCTGAAGAGTGTTTCTTCTCCTGCGTTCTACTGTACAGACGTGAATTTACTTTTGCTTCAGCCTGAGGTTTATTCATTACACTTTTTGGTGTGAAAGGGCTTTTATATTTGCTATAAATAGAACTTCTTATCCACCTTTTTCTTCAACGCGGAAGTAAGCCTATGGGTGAGACTTCCGGTTCATTAGCCGCTATAGGTAAATAACGAGGAGAATAACAACGTGCAGTAAACGGTACAACTGTTTGCACTACAAACCAGTGTGTTCATAATTTCAGATAATACATTAAAATAATATGATAAGACACACCAACTTTCAATATCAAGCAGCAAAACGAACTGTTTTGCTCAGCTAAAAATAGCTGGACGGAGTGGACGCAGATGAGACCGGAAGCCAGACCCATAGAATTTACAAATGGCCGCGCCCATTTTTACGACAAGAAAAAGGTGGATATTAAAAACAATCAAGCCCTGCTCATATTTAAAAAGTAACGCGAAGTAACGCAAAAGTAATATAACGCATTACTTTCCATAAAAAGTAACCAAGTAACGTAATTAGTTACTTTTTTTAGGGAGTACCGCAATATCATAACGCATTACTTTTAAAAGTAACTTTCCCCAACACTGTGAGTGAGTAACTAAAAGTGGTCAAATAATATTACCGGACGTATTACATATGCCCTTTTCTTAACTGAAGACACATTAGAAATGGTTTTGCTGGTGTTCAGGATACAGAGCCATCATCGTGGATGAGCTGCAGGATGACAGTGACAGAGGAGCGAGGGTGAAGCGTCAACAGAAGCGCAGCCTCGCACGTCTCACGCACGCACTGCTCCCTCGCGCGCTCACGGACTCCTAACGAAACAACAACATGAGAAGAGTTGGAGTCTGTACCAGACTGACATCTAACGGTGAGGACTGGCAGTGCAGGCCGAGGCGACGAACACTGATGGAGGAGTCTATGAATAATGTCATTACCGAAATGAAAGACACTTATTATTAAACACCTGACATGAATATTAGGCATGCAGTTATAGTCCTCACGATTTAATTTGAATTTTTAAAAGCTGCTCAAACTATTTCTCGGTAAAAGCCTTAAACATAAAGCATGCTCTATAAGTAAAATTAAATAAAAACATACACACGATACAACTGAGTGAAATACTAACTAAATGCCAATTTAGTAGCATGGTTTCCTGAAATGTAGTTTTAAGTTTTTTCCAAGGCCCTTTGAAGGGCCAGTTCCTAAAATATTATTATTATACTTATATACATTATACTTATTATAGTATAATATACATAATATATAGTAATAACAAATATTTTCAATTCTAAAAAACATTTATATAGAATAGAATTCATTGTGCGTGTGTGCGTATATATATATATATATGTGTGTGTGTACAATGCATGCATTAAAAGTGTCTACTTTTAATGTCAATATATGGGTGAAGTAATGTTCCATCATCATTCAGCATAACAGATGTATATGTAAAAAAAACTTATTTTGACCTGTACATATTAAAAATATATAAAGGGAAAAGTGATCATACAAAATCATTATATTTTAAATGATTACAAACTTCTTTCTTACAAACGAGTAAAACCTAGTAGTTTGAAGGATAGTGGCAAAGATTTGTAGAGACTTAATTTTACAGTTAATTAATAATAATAATAATAATAATAATAATACAGGGCTACATTAAAAAAGCTATATTAAACTTTTATCGTTTTAATGATTGAAAAGCCATTTAGTCTTTGACCCATATCATTAATTATGAATTTATTTGAAATCAAACTTACCTGGAAGCCCCATTTTAGGCTGGATAAGAACCTCTACAGTAGCTCGATCATAGATTTCCTTGCTGACTTTCACTTCAGCTGGTCCATAAACTCCTGCCAGGATACTAGTATCACCTGAAGATACATTTACAAATTCAGAACAACACAGATTTGAACAAATAAAACCGATTTCTGGACTTACGCTTGACAGGCAACTAGTCGCTCTGAACAAAAGAAACAAATCGGTTACACACTAATATAAATACCTTGAACAAAAGTGGAAGACCCGTCAGGTTTGGATAACAAACTCTGCTCACTTCCATATTCTCTTAAATTTGAACAACTTTGATCTAACTCCATCATGCTCCTCATGCACAATCCTCTCGTCGCGCTCATATATGCGTCATTGTTTTTTGAGCGCACCATTATGACGACATGGGATACGTCCGCCCTCTAGTGGTAAACTATCGCAATGACCACGTTGCCAGAAACCCTTGACCGGTTTAATTAAAATATATCTGCTACTAAAATTAAGGAACTCATGTTTAATACATTTAATATGCAATTAAAATGATACATTTCCCAGATACAAACCTAAAAAATGGGATGAATGTTTGTGTTGTATGCTATTGTCCAGCAGGGGGCGCAAAAACAGACGCAAGACACCACGCACTTGACGTAAAGATGGCGGCTGTGGGACTGTAGCAAGGCTCTTTCATTTTCTTAAAGATACAGGGTTAGAGCACAGCATATAGGAAATGGGATTTTTATTAATGATTATAACTATGCTAAGTACATGAAGCCCTGAAGTTGCACACCCCGGTACAGTAGGTGGCGGTATGCACCTGAACAAGTTGGCTGCGACCCGCCAATAAAACCAGAGAGAGAGAGAGAGAGAGAGAGAGAGAAAGATGGCGGCTGTTAGAGGTTTAACGAAATTATACGGTATTGGGCTTCACGCGATTCGTCAAAATACTACGTTAAAAGCAACAACGTTTCTCCAGCAAAGAGCATTCCGCGTAAATGTAAGTTTTACCTGTATGACAATTGCATGTAGGCTACTCCGCGAACGGACTTCTGTCATTAGCAAAAGCTGCTAATCAGATGTTTGAACTGTGCAGCTGCGCGAACCTCAAAACATTGGTGCAATTTGGATTGTATAAAATGTATACCAATAGTAAACCACCTTAATAAAAAGCAGGATGCTAGTCCTAAAATAATGTTTAGTCCTTGAGTATTTCTAATGCTTTTGTATATGCATTCCTCATCTGACCTAGAAACAGTACACAATTGCGTTCGATCTGTCTGATTATGTGATCTAACCATCTAGTAATTGTTTTAATCTAATAACTATTGGTCAGATCTCTGTGTATTGTTGTGAGTAATGGACTGTTTAACCTTCACAAGGCTGTTGATTTACACTGAGAGCCGATTGGCTGGTTCTGGGGGGGGGGAAACACATGCTAATCCCTGCAGCCTTGTGCCATTGAAATTTATTCACTTTTTATCTTCCCAGCATTAGATGATCTTGCATTAAGTATGAGCAAGTGTATTTTCTGTGATCCTAAATCTACCAGCTGATATAAAGATGTGCATCAATACGCAAACCATGCACTTAACATATTTTTACTTAAATGTTAAAATACTTAGTTAAAATATTTATAGTTGTATACATTAATTTACAATCAGGATCTGGCTAATTCGGTTCTTCGAACGCACCTGGTGTTGATGATAAGTATGGCTGTATTGAGTTATCTGAGATAATGGCGCGTTCATGGGTTGGTTTAAAAGTGGCTATGTATCGATACTCATAACCACGATCAGCAATGCAGCGATTGGCTGGCGGCAAGACAGCAACGTAATGACATCATAGAATTAAAAAGCACACCTGATGAAAAACTTGACAAATTTCTGGACTTTTATAAGGAAACAGCCAAGCAAACAAAACTACATAAATGTTATAATAGATAAATGAAATGTGCACTGTTTGTATATTATTAGAATTTTTTACTATTCCCAATTATTTAGATAGACTGTGGCTCCATCAAGCCACTCCCATAATAGACGTCACCACTCAAATTAATGCACGACTATACATGATCTGTATTAATACAATTATGAAGTAATAATTTTATTACAAATAAATCTTTCAGTGAGTAAAACTGTCTGTGTCTGTAGTATTAAAGACTACACGACATTATTATATTATCTTTAAATTCATTTTTAAATGATCATTATTTTAAATGATTATCCCTGGATTAGTAGGGTACTCTTGTAATAAAGTAGCGGTGGTAGAGGACAGATTTTAAGTATCAATTCTGCTTAAACAGATGCAATCTAATCCTGTTTACATGAAATAAGCCGCTCCCGAGCAGGTTTAAGCTTACGGACCTGTTGCTATGACAGCAAGTCCAGGATGAGCTTCGAAGAACCAACCAATCCAAGATCATGCCAAATCATCAACAAACAAATCCAGCTAACTGAGTTAGCGACGTATGAAGAACGGGCCCCTAGTCTTTGTTTTCATGAAAAACGCACTAACAAATTCTAAGGCACATGTACAGTGGTGTGAAAAAGTGTTGGCCCCCTTCCTGATTTCTTATTTTTTTGCATGTTTGTCACACTTTAATGTTTCAGATCATCAAACAAATTTAAATATTAGTCAAAGATAACACAAGTAAACACAACATGCAGTTTTTAAATGAAGGTTTTTATTATTAAGGGAAAACAAAATCCAAAACTACATGGCCCTGTGTGAAGAAGTGTTTGCCCCCCTGTTAAAACTGTGGTTTATCACACCTGAGTTCAATTTCTCTAGCCACACCCAGGCCTGATTACTGCCACACCTGTTCGCAATCAAGAAATCTCTTAAATAGGACCTGCCTGACAAAGTGAAGTAGACCAAAAGATCCTCAAAAGCTAGACATCATGCCGAGATCCAAAGAAATTCAGAAACAAATGAGAAAGAACGTAATTGAGATCTAACAGTCTGGAAAAGGTTATAAAGCCATTTCTAAGTTTGATCTGAAACATTAAAGTGTGACACATAAGAAATCAGGAAGGGGGCCAACACTTTTTCACACCACTGTATTTTTAAGGCATTTTCTTATATGCATGCTTTACAGTTTTTCTTAATATTTAATCTTACATTGTATTTAGCCTATTTATTTTAGTGCCACTTTTTAAAGGATCTATATTTTCTCTCCTTACCTTTTGTTTATATTTCTGCATCAAAATCATAAGATGACCCGTATTACCTTTAAACCAAAACAAAGGCAAAATAAAAGCTCTCTTCATTCGATAGTAAAACTTACTGGTCAGGAATTGGCTATAAACACTCCAGTGTAAAAGTGTGTGTGTGTAACAGTATTTATTATTTATAAAATAATAGATTTTATATTTTCAGTGTTCATTTTCATTTTAGTTAAAGTTTTAGTAATTTTATTGTTTTGTCATTTTTAGTATCATTATTTTTTAATGTCTATATAGTTTTTAATTAATATTCTTTTTATTTTTAGTTATTTTGGTACATCAAGTTGAGAATGAGAAAATGAGAAATGTTGCCTTGTCAGCTAGCTGAAATAAAATAAGTTGAAGTTTACTTTCTAATGTTTCATTATATTATATTATTTCAAGTAACGGAAATGTTTTTTTATGATTTTAGTTTTAGTTAACTAATAACCCTGGTTTGTGAGGGAATTATTGAGCAGTTTTTTTTTGTCTGATTGTTAAAGTATGTGATCAGATCTCATGAACTGCTTCTTTGATGCTTGTGTATTTCACTCCCTGATCCTCTGTCTCTCTCTTCAGGGAGCTCTTCGCCAGCAGCCGTTTGATTCTTCAGCGGAGAAGCCGCAGTTTCCCGGGGCCTCGGCGGAGTTTATTGATCACCTGGAATTTATCCTGCCCAATGTGATCTCAGGAATCCCTGTGTATAGGGTGATGGACAGACAGGGCCAGATCATCAATCCGTCTGAGGATCCTAAGGTGTGGAGTCTTTTATTTGCACCATATGGCAAAGATAATGTGTGGAAATAAGCTGGTAGCAGGTTACTAAATAGTATCCACAATTTTTGCACTTACACAGCGTTACTTGTCTGTTTCAGCTTCCAAAAGAGATGGTTTTGAATTTCTATCAGAAGATGACATTACTCAACACAATGGATCGGATTCTTTATGAGTCTCAGAGGCAGGTGAGTGGTGCAGTGGATATTAGTGTGATGTTTATTCCAATATAACATGAAAATAACATTTTAATAATGCTTAAGTTTGGTATGCTTTTGTGTTCAAGGGCCGTATCTCTTTTTACATGACCAATTATGGTGAGGAGGGCACACACGTTGGAAGCGCTGCGGCTCTTGAACCTACTGATTTGGTCTTCGGCCAATACCGAGAAGCTGGTGAGCATGTTTACAAGCTGGAGTCACAATAGTGGCTCTCCCAGTTTTATTCTTATAAGGGTGCACACACATTAGACACGTTAGCCTTGTAACTTGCTCAGGCACGATTGGCCTCCCTCTCACTCATTGCACTCTTGATCAGCACAATGGAGTCCATCATAATGTTAACTTTGTAGCTTATTATTTTGAGTCATTTGGGGTGCAAAGATACACGGTCCTCTCATGTGTGTAATATGCTGCTTAGAGGTGGGTGATATACCGGTAGACACAATTAATTGGTAGAAATTTTCGACTATCATTTCTATCGTGGTTACACGCTCATGTGATGTTGCTGTGCTACATGATCACGAAAACGTATCGTTTGCATGCGGTTTTAAGCATTGCATTTTAAAAACGTGATTGTAAGCTTGTTTTCTTTAAAAAACAAAAAAAAACTAACACTAGCTTTTCTAATCTTTTTGTTCTATTAGTTTTCTTTTTATTATAAAATTAACAAAAGCAAAAAAGGCCTCTAACACCAGCTTGCTCTATTGTTTTTCTATTCTATCTGTTTCCTTTTTATTTATTATATGCTTGAATAAAAAAAAAATATTCTTTCTATGTTCACTGCATTAAGCTAACTGAGACTTGTTATAGCACTTGCATATCATTGCTCTTTTGTTGATTTTGATTGCTTCCATTGTCCTCATTTGTAATTCGCTTTGGATAAAAGCGTCTGCTAAATGACTAAATGTAAATGTAATGTAAGCTGTTGAAATGCAATTAGCAGCGAAAGAGAACTTGTGACAGAGAACTTGAAGACAGCGATATTTTTGCTGCTTTATAGGCCTTGAACGGTTAAAATACACACTTTAATGTGTCAAAATACTCTTTGCAAGTATCCTCATAAACACAGTAATTTAGGTCTTAAGTGAAAGCAAACAGCTGAGAAAAGATACATGTGTAACAGTATTGGATCCAGGCAGCTCTTAAAGTGACAGCAGTCTAATATTCCTGCTCTCTGTCATTCATGTTAATCAAGATCAACACATTTTCTGTCTAATCAACAAAAGAGAGAAAATCTCTCACTGCTCTTGACTAAATCACTTTTGTAACTTTAATAAGAAGTAGTATTTATTTAATTGACACGCGTGAAGAATATGCAGTTTTTTTTTTTTTTTTTACATTTGATTACTTTATACAACGTATGTAACATTTCTTATTTCTTCTACTGTAGTTATTTTGTCCTATTACTTGTAATTGGTTTCTTATTCTTATTTAATAATTATTCTTATTTTTTGTGATATATGAAACTGTTGACATGAATTGTGAAATATCCATGGTATTAAAAAATGTTGATATCATAGAGACCGTATTTAAAGCAAAAATAACTATATCATGATATATATTATTACCGTGAAAATAAAATGACTCGTATCATGATGTAAGATTTTGGTCATATCGCCTACCCATAATGCTGTTTAACAAATCTATCACTTATGCTGCACATAGAACAGTTTCATAATCAACATCTATGTTTCCAGTTCCATGCATGTTTAGTGCTCACACTTTTACCTGTGTGGCTGTGTCCAATCGAAGCCATGCAGAGCTCACCTCTTCAAGCAGGCCAGGGCATGGATAACACTAGTCAAACTAAATGGACTTTGGGGGTCAAACGTGCTCAGGCTTGGCACTTGCAAGAGAGTTTTCTTATTATTATTTTTTGGTTGTAATGAAAAATTTCAGTCTTCGCTTTATTTTCTTCAAAATGTTAAATAAATATTGTTAAATATTATATGGTAGAAAAAGATTGCAGGTTAATTGACAATGCATTGACTCGTATCATGATGTAAGATTTTGGTCATATCGCCTACCCATAATGCTGTTTAACAAATCTATCACTTATGCTGCACATAGAACAGTTTCATAATCAACATCTATGTTTCCAGTTCCATGCATGTTTAGTGCTCACACTTTTACCTGTGTGGCTGTGTCCAATCGAAGCCATGCAGAGCTCACCTCTTCAAGCAGGCCAGGGCATGGATAACACTAGTCAAACTAAATGGACTTTGGGGGTCAAACGTGCTCAGGCTTGGCACTTGCAAGAGTTTTCTTATTATTATTTTTTGGTTGTAATGAAAAATTTCAGTCTTCGCTTTATTTTCTTCAAAATGTTAAATATTATATGGTAGAAAAAGATTGCAGGTTAATTGACAATGCATTGATATTTGACTAAATAATTTGTATTTATTGATATTTGACATAAGTTATTTATATTTATACATTTATAAATATATTTATATATTTTATACATTTATAAATGTATTTATTAATATTTGATCAAATATAAATGTATATTTTCTGAATTTTTATAGGTGTATTGATGTACAGAGGCTTCCCTTTGGATCTGTTTATGGCGCAGTGCTATGCCAACGCTGATGACCTTGGCAAGGGTAGACAAATGCCAGTTCACTACGGCTGCAAAGACCTCAATTTTGTAACCATCTCCTCACCACTTGCCACTCAGATCCCCCAAGGTGAGAAGTGAGCATGTCTGTTACACAGAACAGTCATCATGAATATTTTACACTTACCGTTCAAAAGTTTGTGGTCTATTTTTTTTGTGTGTGTGCGTTTGAAGAAAGTCTTAAAGGGGTCATATGATGCGATTTCAAGTTTTCCTTTCTCTTTGGCGTGTTACAAGCTGATTGTGCATAGACATAAGATCCCTGAAGTTGCGAAGACTAAAGTCTCAAAACCAAAGAGACATTTTTTATCAAAGTTAAGACTCTGCCACGCCCCCCTAAAACAACTCGTTCTAACACGCCCCCACATATCTACCTCACTATGTGGGAATATTTGCATAATGCCGCCCAAATGTGCACGCAAAGAAAGAAGGCGTGGTTTCAGTAACCGCAGTTAGTGTTGAAGCAGCCATGTCAGAGAGACGCTGTGTGTTTCAGTGCGAAAGCAAAAGTAATTTATTTGGCCTTCCGAAAGTAGATCCATTTAGGAATCTTTAAGATTACTTACAACAGAACAGCAATGCATTTTATGGCCGACCGTTTCGTGAACCTAGGAGAGGAGGTAATTCTGACTTTGCTATGACAATCTGGCGCTTCTGAATCAGCTACTGTTTTGTTATTAGTTTAAGTATTTGCTATTGACTGTTCAAATGCGGAGTTTTGCGCATCGTGTGTGTGTGTGCGTGCGCGTGTGTGAGAAAGAGAGAGAGACACTCTGAAAATGAGCTCCTGAAAAATTATAAAAGATTAAGCCAAAAAGTAAGACATAGAGTGAGATAATGACAACAAACAAGTAAAAACAACAGAGGAACAACTTGGATTCAGGTAAAGACAGATTTGTCTTCCAGAAAATACATTTTAATGCAAAAAAGAAGACTGGAACCTCTGGATTAGCATCTGGCTACTGGATCACCACTCTATCAGCTATCTGCAGTTTTCCCTCCAAAACTTTTAAGGCATCCTTTAAGGAACTACAACTGAAAGACATTACTTAATTGTTGATCTTCAATTGCTAAACAGAGGGGTGAGCTCTATCTTGCATAAAAGATTAACAAAAACTGTATATTTAATTTTATTCAAGTAAAATCTCATCATTAAAAGCTAAAGCTAGCTGCAGCTTTGGCTCAGTGCCCAGTCTGATCACCATGGCAACCCCGGCGCAAACAGAGTGCAGGGAGGTGTGTTACCCAGAGAAGTGCAGAAGTGTGCAGGCATGGAAGAAACACAAGGAGAAAACTCTCAGAGACAATCCTGATGTTCTGTATGCTGACTATATTCAACTCAATGCGAAAAGAATCAAGAATAACTTCATTTTCTACACCACTATGATTAGTGCTTGGAAACTGGCCATCTGTGAGGAATACAAGCACGTGTTTAAAGAAAGAATAGGCCGAGGTGGAAGACTTAACTATTTGTGAAGATGAAATGCTCGACACAGACAACCCCATTCTCACTATAACCTACTACACTAAAGGCACCTTCCTACTGCAAGGCAATGAAGCAAGCCTGAACTCATTTGAGGAGATTTTCCCCCTGCTGAAATCCAGAGTAGAGAAGGAGAGAGACGAGACTCGTGTGAACTGCACAGACTCTGAGGAGGAAGGCCCAGTGAATCCTCCACCTTCACCATCCCAACGTCAACTGAGAGACAGTTTAGCCCTACTAGAACTGGACTTCACTGAATTCAGAGAAGAAACTCTCAGACACTAACACAAACATTTACATCCAGGAGCTCAAAGATGAACTCCAGCAGCTGAAGAACAACATCAGCTCTTCCATCACTGAACTCACAAGAGCTCCGAACTCTCCGCAAGAAGAAATGCAAACTAGAGGAGGACACAGAGAAAAAAGAGTGTACCTACGACAAACACACAGACACCTGCAGCAACACAGGCCTCACCCGCCCAGGCTCCAGAACCTGATCCAGATGTTCTCCTCCTCATGGACTCTAATGGAAAGTTTGTGGACCCTCAGAAACTCTTCCCACACCAAAAAGTCACTGCAAAGCGATGTAGCACAACAGGACACGCCCACCAGATCATCAGAGACGTCACAGGACACCCCTCGTGTATTATCATTCACACTGGGACTAACAACCTTCACTCGCTACGCAACAATACTGCTGATGCTGTGAGGAAAATGGCAGAGAAAGAAGAAACCAAAAGCCACCCCACACCAAGAGAAGCCCCCACAGCTGAGAGCACAGAGCTACGCTGAAGCTGCAGCCCGGCCCCCTGCTGCACCCAGCACCTCCACACCTGCCAGCGAACTGAGCCAGATCAGAGAGATGCTGCAGACACTGTGCAACCAGCTCCTGAACCGATAAGGACAATATGCCCAAACGCAGTGCAATACGATTGACAAAAAATGCATTAAAAAAAAATATTTTGCACTAATGTAAATTGTTTGCCATATACTGTACATTCTCACAGGTTATTTTCTCTCTGTCTTACAAAATAGGTTTATCTTTGATAACCACACTATCATTGATAAACATGTACACCAAAACAAAACCAAAATCTTTGCTTGCTTTATCGACTTTGAAAAAGCTTTTGATTCAATCTGGCATGAAGGACTCTTTCTAAAACTACTGGAAAATGGGATTGGAGGGAAAAATTTTGATTTAATCAGCACCATGTATAAAAACAATACTTGTGCTGTAAAAATAGGGAATAATCTAACAGAATTTTTCTCTCAACAACGAGGAGTTAGACAAGGTTGCCCATTGAGCCCCCCTCTGTTTAACATTTATATAAAT